TAAGAGTCACGTCCGCTTTTCTAGTAGTGAGCTTGGGCTGCCTGTGTGTTCAAAGGCGTAAAGATTGCGTGCTCAACACTTCGCCTGTGGTAGCGGCTGTGTTCAGACTTCTGAAAATTTTGGATATTTTCAATGGTGAATTACGTGTTCAATTCAATTCTTTTTTGCCACTTTTGCCATCTATCTCTTTGCTGTACTGACCTATGCAAATCAACGATTTCTCCTGTCTTGGAAATTCTGTCCACTTTTTGCATGAAGGTGTTCACCGCTTCGTTCATAAAGGGAATCATCTGAAAGAAAATTTCCAGAAATGAGGAACTAATGAGTGTTACGTTTCCAGTTTCATCCATATTGCTTGGGATTTAAATGCATCTACGTGGGTTATTGAAACTAAAAAAATAACTTGCCTGCTTCATTTTAGCTGCACTGAAGGTCGGGGACAATGTGGATCGTATATCCTTCCACTTCTGACCACTGGCAACTTGTAACATTCTGTCATAAGGTTTCCGAAAGTTTACCAATTTCTGAAATTATAAGTTTGAAAACCAAACAACACTGACTCAAAAGGTTAAAATCAGCTGGTTCGTATTGGCTTTGGGGCTCATATTGTGTTCATACACGTTAATGATATTTCGTGTTGGAGCCATCGATATTTTTTGCACGTAAGTTGTTGTACCGATGAGAAGTTCTCTTGTAACTTTTCTGATAAATGGTGCATTGAAAAAAAATAACTGTGGGATCGGTAGTATCATAAAAATTGTCTATGTTAGGGTTGGACACGACTTCAACTCGTTTGTGCGAGCAAAGTGGCCTTTTTACCCATAATCATTTTCCATTCCTCTCGAGACAAAGTACTGAGTTCATGTTACCTTGTATAGCTTATTTGGGTGAGGCTTCTGCTATATTAGTCTATATCCAGTCCATGAGCTAAGGGGAGGGGGGGTAGTTTGTACACCTGCCGGCTTTTGTTTCCTCTGCGTTTACTTTGTACCCAAAATGAGGAGGGGGAAGGCGGGCCCCCCTGGACCCCTCCCCTAGATCCGCCACTGCATTATATACATTATAGAATTGGTAATTAAAGGTTCCTAAAAAACAAAGGCTCCTACATTTCCTAAAAGATCTACCTTTCGATCATGAAATTTTGAGAATTCTTTCACGAGGATGTCTTTTACGATATCTGGATCGGCCACCACCAGAAAAGGTTGACGAAATATATAAATTCTAAAGAGAAAACAATTGGAAAAAGGACTGTTAATCTTGAAAAAAAGTTAGCAGACAAAATTCCGAGACCATATTAGTCAGTTAAACGGAGGGCTCCACCTCCAGTCTTCTCATGCAACAAATATATTTTTAGTATAACTATACAATTTTCAGCATGCTGTTCTTTCATTAGAGAGCCATTCAACAAGTTACGATGGCCTTTTCTCAACATATCTTGCACGTTTTCTCACGTTTATCACGGAAACCGTGGCCATGACGTTCAGTTTGACTGTAATAACCGTGGTATGATTTTGAATGGATGCTAAAGTATACCTACCCAAAGACCTTCCCATATCTTTTACACCATGCTATCTGACATTGCGGGATAATGCTTGGCTGTAAAAAGAAAAGTTTTCGTTACACTGTGAAAGAAGAATGAGGATATTATGAAATTAAAACCTCGCCTTTATCGGACTTAGCATGCCAAACAAGCTACTCCTTGGAACCCAGTACTTTCTATTACCAATCAGTACACAGGAGAGTAGTGAACCTTTGTTTGATTGGTTGGATGTTTGTTGTTGTTGTTGGAATATGTTCGCACCTCTTATCTTTGAGCACGGGACTTGAAACAGAAATAGCGCGACCAACCAGCTTTTTTTCTTTATGGTAGATATACTTTTTCTTTCTTATCATCCATTAGAGGATAAAATCAAGTAATGTTTTACTAGATTATGCATTGAGTTAATGTTTTTTTTGCCTCCTCTTTTGAAATTTTCTCAATCCTCCTTTAGGTCTTTCTTTTCTCAATTAATTTTTACAGTAAACAATAAAATTCTGACTAAGTCAACCAACTTACATTAAATTGGTTCTGTATGGCGTTCCCAAAAAATGGAAAAGGTGTAGGTCCTTTGATTCCAAGTTTCTTAAACACAGTGAAAGGTGCAACACAGAACCTTTAAAAAGTTAGATATTTCCAAATGATCAATTGAAACATCAGCTGCGGCGAAACATTTGGTTTAAAAGACAAATTCTGTTTTAATCTAGAAGAAGTACCTTGAAGTGCTTAGGCTATGGTAATTTTTTATTATCTCACCATCAATGTGAGCACCTGTAATGTTATTATATTTTAAACCAGAAGCTATATTTGACTACTAATGCATATTATCTTCTCCTGAACATGCGCTCAGAGCCCCCTGTTGGATTTATCTTAATTTTTTAGATTTCCATAGGTGTGGAAAGGGGACCTATCCCATTTGAAAAATAGTGCGTGACACTTGCTTTCGTTACACCTGTTTCGTGACGTATTTACCTTTGAAAATTTGCATAACCGTGTCATCCATACTTTGTCCCAAACACGAGGCCTAATGGATTTTACTCGACTCGCATTTTAGTAGTATGAGTTTATATCTAAATTTTACTCGACTCGCATTTTAGTAGAATGAGTTTATATCTAAATATCTATGATGTCTTGCATAATTAGTTTTAGAGTTTTTAAGGGCCATCTGCGTTCATAACAGAACTCTGATCCAACTTAGAGACCGAGTGTTCATTAATTTGTTTTTATTCCACTGATTATTAACGGACAGAATTACGTTACGTGCATTCAAATAATCGCATTTTGAACCTTGGATATTGCTTAAATGTTTTTTACGAATGTTAAAATCCGAGGGTAATATGATGGAACATAACGAATGGTCAAAATCTTTGATTGTATATCTATTAGATATAGCGTAGTGAAGGCAATGAACACGTTTTATACATACCGATAAGACAGGAGAATGAGACATCCCATTAATAATGTAACCCAGTGGTCGCTTGTAAACTGAACTATTGTTTGTAGAAGGTCGGTCATCTCTTCTTGTTTTGGGATAAGAGTGGATCACGTTCCGACAAAATTCGGAGGGAAATGACGAAATGGAGAATCTTCGCTTTTCCTTATTAATTGTATTGCATAACATCAACGCAGGGCAGCGACTGAGCTGTTGCATGCAAATATCTCGCATAGCCCCGAATGCCCTGGCATGTTGGAACATGCGATCAAGTCAAAGGGCGGCAGAGGGGGGGAGGGGAGGAAAAAAAAAACGCAGAAGCTGTAAGTTTGTGCCTGAAATACGCACGAGAAGCGAGTATGGTGATGATTTATCGGGGAATCATGGATAAACAATGGGTTTCTGGTTCAAAATTGAAGGATGCATCCTATTCGATGTTAAAGACACTTTAGACAAAGTATCCCAAAGACCTGGATACTGGAACAGCTATTGTTAATTTGCGTGAGCTTTCTTTATTGGAGTAATTATTACTCACATCACAGATACCACAAAATATCTCCGGCAAACCTTTTCCACAGGTGAGGAAATTGGAAATAATTCAATGCGTAGTCAGGTATCCGAGAAAGTATTTTCTAATTCTCAATCCGAAGAACTGCTAATTTGTGAGGGGCGTCTCCAAATAGTTAACAACTATTCATCGAAGTGGAGGTGGTAAGTGGTGGATATTTACCAAGCCGCGAAGCGGCGAGGTAAATATCCACCGCTAACCACCGACACTGAGGTGAATAGTTGTTTTAGTATATACTAAAACAGTGAGATAATTTACACCACCGTCGTTAATTTGAGTGATTTCTTCGCTTGTCACGGATGCAAACCGGGACGCCATTTTTTTGCCGAGTATCGGAGGTAAATAGCAAAGGATATTCGGGGTTTGACTAGCCAATCAGAGCGCGCCTTCAACGCTATCCACTGTTTTAGTATATACTAATGTAGATTAGTTGCGAGCCACAGCGTGTTACCCAATTCTCCAAATACCTCAGTCCAGCCCTTCAATAGGCTGAGAAAATTATGTAAAGTGAATTTCTCAACATAAGTTAAACATGGAATATTGCCACGAACACCTCCACATCGATTTACGATGACGAGCATAAAAAAAATTGACTTTTCCTTTTTTTACAAATATTCAAGTTGCCTAATTGACTGAGTCAAACACACGGCACTTTTCAACATTGTGCAGGCACCTATCGAATCCTGGCTTTACTCCCTCTTGGAAACTCGTAACATGATTTTCCTTGAAGGACAAGCGAGTGAAACGCCTACTGCAAAATTAAGGGGAACCTGCAAAAGAGGGGACAAAGAGTTCCTAAGTGCAAAAAAATGATATGAATATTTTACGACTAAATTAAAATGGCTTTGAAATTTACATATCTTTGCGTTGAACTTTTTGTATGTAGCATAATTTAACTGGTAGACTTATAAAGACCTGGTTCGACACGATTTGGGATTTTTCTGAAATGAAAGGACATTGGGTTTTGCCCTAGATAGACCTTTCTGTTGACAAGGGGTAGAGTAAACAAAGAACTGTTACTGTGCGAGATTTGATTTTTAGCTGAATTGTGGCCAGACTTACCGCTGTTTTCTCGGTGCGCTCTAGTTTGTACTTCTTCAGTAACCTCACCAAGGTCAGCTTAATTTCCAGCAAAGCAAAGCGCATGCCAATGCAATTACGGGGACCATGTCCAAACGGAAGAAAGGCATATGGAGAGCGTTTTGCTTTCTCTGCTTCTGTAAACCTATCAACATCAATGAGTCCACAGAAATTAAAAATGATCTTATTCCGAAAAAGGAAAAGAGATTGAAGTCACAAGAGAGTAATTGTAGAGGGCAGCAACAAGGTAGAAGAAAATGATAAATAATGATGATAATTCTGGAATTTTTTATTTAGACAACTCTTAGCTCTAAAGAAAACACAAAATACACATCGACTTCGCTTTCGATTTTCGTACCTCTCCGGATCAAACCTCTCTGGCTCCGGCCAAAACTCTGGGTCGTGATGAATGGCGTAAATTGGTATCATAACGGGCAATCCTTTTGGAATTGTAATCCCTTTGATGGTGCAGGTTTCATTGCAATCCCTTTGCGTTCTAAGACAAAATCGGGTGAACTCAGGCAAGACCTAGCGAGGTGTAAACGCAAAATACGGCTATCTCGAGAGGGTTGTCGGAAAAAAGACAAAAGTGCACGCGACAATCTCGAAAGGTAATCTTGGCATCCAGTAATCAATTAGTTAAGATAAGTGAAATAAATATGGATAAAAGGACTAATGAACACGAGAAGAAAAAAAAAACAAACACTATGGAGACGGTTAAACAACAGCAAACTCGCCTTCCTCGACACCAGAGTTACAAAAGAACCTGATGGACATCTAAACACCTGCATATACAGTTAACGTATATACATCCAAGAAGGATACCGTCGACCCGGCTGAACGGGATGATTATGTCTCTGAGGATTCTTTGTGAGTGCAGCAAAGTCTTCATAGGAGACACTGGCTGACCGATGTAGGAGAGGATCAAAGAGCATGGCAGGGATATCCGACTCGCGAAGACCCAGACCTCTGCCATTTCAGAGCACGCTCACGATACCGTACACCGCCCGCTCTGGAATGAAATAAAGTTTATCGATCGTGATCCCCATTTCTATACATGCAAGGTGAAAAAGGCAATCCACATAAGACTTCACCTTAACAAAATCAACAGGGACAGTGGAATCGAAATCCCAGAAGCTTGGATGCCAACGATCAAAAACATAACAGTAGGAGAGCTCTGCGGCAGTGGATAGCAGAGGGACCCCAATCAGAAGATGCACCCATTACAGCTGTAGAATTCCACCCAATCAGCTGAGCACAACAGTTTATAGGTAACACATACTCAATCGACCTCATCACCTGAAGAAGACTAGCAGTATGCAGTCGAAACGTCGTGATCCACATCCTCAATGACCATTTATTTTTGAAAGTGTTATTTACCTCGATGACAAACCATAACCTATTTTACGATATAATGCCCACAATACTTTCGGGGTTATCGCGTGCACTTTTCCCATTTTTCTCCGTCGTGTATTAAAAATGGACGCCTTGTAAACAACTTAACACATAGGTAAACTTCTTATTTGACGTAAGAAAACAGACTTTACTTTAAACATTCTTAACATGGAAAACATACTTAATTAGTGTAGGGTACGAAACGACTCAACGGACTGGTACTAATGGTCTTAGCCGGGTACGAATCGATTGGGTACGAATCGATTGGGTACGAAACGACTATGGGTACCAAACGACCTTTAACTAACCCTCTACTCGTAATGGGTTTCTGTTACGTTCGGGCTACAAGGTTGATAACTATTGTTTCGTTATTTTGAAAAATTCCATCCTAATTACTCGTCGTCTATTACTTCATCAAACATATCTTATTGCAATGTGCGGATATGGTCGAGCATTGAGAAGCTGTCTGCTAAGCGGAGCAGTTGTGTTTTGTTTTTCCATACTGCCTATACGTACATGAAGCCCGGGGGGTACATCCTTAGTGTTTCATTGATAACCATGTCCAAATATTCCATCCCACGAAGGACATCATAAGACGGTGAGGCCTGGAAGAAAAAAGGAGGTTCAACGGGGATATTAAAATTGCATATCACATTTGAAAGGGGAACAAGATCAAGAGCGGAGAGTCGAAAACTAACAGGCTCGACTATCTTTAAGCCGATGAAACTGTTTGTTTTTATCGTTATAACAACCTTTTTATGCCCTTGGCAGGGTTATGAGATCAAAAGGCCTCGTACCTCATCTGTGGGCCAAAGACGATCAATTTCATTCCTCAATTTGTCTTGCACGTGCGTGTCAACAGCAAGATGATAACAAACGAAGCCTAGAGTAGCACTTGTAGTTTCATAACCAGCGATAAGGAAAACCAGAGTCTGGGCAAGGATGTCTTCATAGTCAATCTTTTCTCCCCCTGTTTCATTTTTCGCATCCAGCATAAGTTGCAACATGTCTTCTCGCTGAAAGAAAGAAAGCCACTTTAGTATTCTCTAAGAGAAGCCCTTACATCAAAAGAAGAAATTATTCTCGAGCTCAAGTGGACTGTAAACTCAATTATCACCGTTAATCTTGATTAACCCTTTAAATCCAAGGAGTGACTGGCCGCTAAACTGTCCTTACGATATCGCCTTTGAATCAAATGTAAAGGTCATGAGAATAAAGGGAACGATCACCATTTTTAAGACCCTCTTGATTGTCACACAAGTTCTCCTCGTCAATATCATAGGTAATGTAAAGAGACCAGCGGGGCCCAGTTGTTTAAAGGGTCTTTAACTTTATCCAATGGATAAATCGCCTTCCAGCGGATTGGTGTTGACAAAATGCACTATGCTATCCACCTGAGTGCCCAGTTGTTCGAAGGGCGATTAGCGCTGACCCAGGGTTAAATTTTAGTCCAGGTTTCTATATTTCTCTGTTCAAAAGCCGTTTTGGGATAATTTCCCTAATTCTTTTTAGAGTATTCAATAGTCAAATTGTAGGCACATGGAATTAAACTGAATTTTCTTTTAAAGCTTTCAGATCTGAAATCAAATTTCACACTAACCCTGGTTTATCTTAATTCAGCTTTGAACAACCCGGCCCGGATAGAAATTTATCCAGCAGATAGCGTTATCCACCCTTCGAAAAACCTGGTCCAGTGTGAACTAGGGCGGATCCAAGATTAAGTCAAGGGAGGTTCGGAGAATTGTCCAAGGGCATGCTCCCACGAGAGATTTGAAAATTTGGTCTTAGGAAACATGATTTCCAGGATTTTGAGGGAAAATTTAGGGGCTTCGACCGAACCACCTGAACCACACCTGGATCCGCCCCAGGTGAAGAATATAAAATACTAATGTTAAGGTATAAAGCGTTAAGTTTCAAAGTTTGTTTCTGACGTGTGGTTTGCTTGTTCCGTTTGCTTTCGTCCTTTCAGCAAGAATGGTTTCAGCCAGAGACCACACCTTCTCAAAATCAAATGGGTCTGGAACGAACTTGGATAACCAGTCTCCAAAGGGCAACAGCACTACAGAATAATTTCAAAGTATGCTGAACATCAGAATACATTTGTATGAAAACCATTCCTGAATGGTCTCAGGTACGCCTCAAGGGAAATCGAATCTTACACAAAACTCCAATGAGGGGATGTGGTGTCGTTGCCTTCCTCGCCATTTCAGTGATTGGATCATTTTCAACAGTCTGTGTTTCTGCTTTGACTCCAAATGCTGTCGACAGAATTATTTCCATGGTAAGACTCTGAAACCAGCTAGGGGATGAAATGTTCAGGTTAGTAATCCTACTTTGCAGGCGATTTCAGAAGTATAAGAGGCTGTGCTCTACCCAATAAGGTGACTGAGAAAAAGAAAAAAACAACGACGAGACAGTTAGAAATTGACCAGTTAAAGCTTAACGCAATTATATTATTGACCTTGCTTGTTTTCGCTAAGATTATATCGGCAAAGCCTCAGTACACAATTAATTCAGTAAGGACAGTCGTATGAAAACAAGTTCGTGACCTGTAGATGTCGACAATCTCTCCAGTTCTTGAAATTTTGTCCCCTTTTTGCATTAGCGTTCCCACTGCTTCATTCATTAGAGCCATCATCTAGAAAAAAACAAATAGAGAGCCAGTAACATGAGCAGTATACAATTGCAATCGATAGTAAACTTCTGCATAATGTCAAACTTGATAGTTACTACTTTTAGTGACATATATGATTTATAATAATTATGGTGTAAGTTTTAGTTCTACACTTTCCTTGATTTCGTTGATAAGTTCAGAAGGGATCTTTGAAATCAGAGCTACTACAGGTTACCAAAGGTTGGGTATGTCTACTTGTATCATAACCTTTATCACAACATCGGCTATTTCACTAGTAACTCATAGATTTAAAAAGACTAAATTTTATGAACGATTAAGGTTATGCAAATCATTTTCCTATTTCATTCATTCCTTGATATCTTAAACATTGCAGCTTGTGTCATTGAGATGTGCTTTATCACTGAGATGTTAAAGGTCGTTTTAACTTTTTTCTCCATAAAAAAGTACTTTGGTTTTATCAACTAAGTTGAAAATGTAAATTGGCCATCGTAAATATTAAAAAGCTGACGTCTTGAGCGTTAGCCCTTCGTCTGACGAAACGTCAGCTTTTTAATCTTTACGGTGGCCAATTTACAATTTCAACTCAGTTGATAAAAGCAAATAACCTTATTACCCGCAACGATGCAGCGCCACAGCTTCTTTAGAAACTTACCCCCTTTGTTCAATTCTGAGTCTGAAATCTAAGTACCTGTTTCATTTTAGCGGCACTGAATGTCGGTGACAGGGTACTACGAATATCCTTCCACTTCTTACCACCTACTATTGCCATCATTTTGTCGTAAGGTTTGCGGAATTTTAAGGAGTTCTGATGATAAAACAGACAACATCCTTCATAGTGAATCCGAAATAAAATTCTTGACACTTCTGTTGCTCGATATAGTAACGGCATTGGGAACGTCAACGAGTTTTATAGTCACCTCTCTTTTTCAAGTTACAAACGCACTTCAACAACATAGTGCACCTAATACAACTCCAAATTTCTCTGTTTTCCGTTGCGTAGCAATGCCAGAGCACACACGGTTGCACTTTGAATGGGAGAGGGGGAAGGCGAGGGGGAGGAGAGGTGGAAGGTGGAGGGGAAGGTAGAGGTGGAGGGGGAGGGGAGGTGGGAAGGGATAGAAAGAACAGAGTATCACGTTTCAAACACAGTTTGCTATGGTAAAGCCATGATGATTTTGATTTTTTTTCTGTTCCTTGAAATGGTTTGTGCTATGTATCACATACCATACACCGTTTTTTGATGTACTTTACCATAACATTACCTTTCTATCGTGAAATTTAGGAAACTCCTTAACCAAGACATCTCTGATCATTTCCGGATCAGCCATCATTAGAAAAGGCTGACGAAAAAAGTACATCCTACGAAAGCCAAGAATACAAATCACTTCACACCACTCAACATACTACGTGCGCAATAAATATCTTTAAACATCGAAAGGCCTTAGTTTCATTTAGCATATCACTTTTCCAAAAGATATGTCATCATACTGGGCTTGAACAACGACATTGGCTCCTGATTATTTACGAGATAATTAACATACCCAAACACCCTGCCATACATGCTGCACCACTCTCGATGAAGCTTCGGAGCGATGTTTTGCTGTGTAAAGAAACCAACATGCTAAACTTATAACCGTTCAGTGTGGTCATAATCAATAAATTGACTCCGTTTTATCCTATCTTAAATTGCTACTTGGTAAATCATTAGCGACTTACATCCAAAAGGATTCTTCCTGAATTTCCTAAAAGTGGAAGCGGTGTTGGTCCTCTGATTCCAAGCCTCCTGAAGAAGGTGAATGGTGCAACACAGTATCTATTGATAGAGAAGAGTTAAGCAGTGGCACTGGGGTTTTGTTTCAGAAATCTAATTAATCAAGCGATCGAAGATAAGTCCGTTGGTACTTCTTCATTAGAAGAGGTAGGAACTGGGGTCAGTAAGCAATGAGTACAATGCGTCACGGTTGCGTGACCCTTGAAATTCATACCAATTCCAAAATACCAAGTTCTAATGCAACTGAATCAATGATGTGTCATCGGTGGACACCAAGCAATTAGCAATGCATCGTCTCTCACCTACCGGTAAAACAGAAGAATCAGGAAACCAGCCAAAAGTGTGACCCAGAAGTCGCTCGTAAACTGAGTTACTATTTCAGCCATATTGGATGCACTTGCGTTTAGTCGCAGAACAGAGTTGCCTTCTTGATAGGGCAGGCTATATTCGTCTGGAGTTGAAAAGATTCATAAACCTTATTTTAAATTATTGCTCTTTGTAACTCCTTTTGTCCTAAACGCAACATTACATGAAATCGAAGCCCAGGGAGATCTTGCGTACATCATTTGCTCCCAATTCAAATAACAAATTAATACACATTTGAGACGTTTCGCGGCTACAAGACTTTTAACTCAAAATTCATTAAGTTCTACCTCATTGAATTAATTTTGTACAGTGTATAAAACTCTTACAGGCTTGCAATAAACTCTAGCATTCGTAGAGGATTTTACACGTCCGTAACATTACCGTAATAGACGTTTTCGGCAGTATGTAAATCTTGTGAGGATAGAGGCTCAGATATCGATGTCACGGTAGACAAGCTAGAATCGCTATTGTTTTTATATGTAGGAGAAATATCTTGGTAACTCTGCTGTTATTTTCAGAGACATGCATTACAGTAGATGCATTGTGAACAAAAAGAGATAAGCAAGTTTATGCTTTTAAACTAGTAGTGGTCAGTTTGCTCTGACGTAATCACTGAGGTAAGTGAAATATCATGCAATAATTTCCACGCATCTGATTGATGCAATGTGCGCAAAAGAAAGAAAATATCAATCTCAGTGAGTCAAAAAAGGTGTTCACAGCAGTTGATCGTTCCCCCTTATTAATGTAAACCTTTTATGTTTGAGTGAACTCTGCTGTTATTTTCAGAGTTATGCATTTCAGTAGATGCATTGTGAACAAAAAGAGATAAGCGAGTTTATCCTTTTAAACTAGTAAGGTATCGGGGTTTCAGTTTGCTCTGACGTAATCACTGAGGTACGTGAAATATCATGCAATAATTTCCACGCATGTGAGTGATGCAATGTGCGCAGAAGAAAGAAAATATCAAACTCAGCGAGTTAAAAAAGTTGTTCACAGCGGTTGATCGTTCCTCCTTATTAACGTAAACCTTTTATCGTTATCAACTTCATCATTCTTATAGCAACGTTAGCTCTACGGACTCCATTGAAAGAGCATGGTTGATTGAGCATTTATTTTATAAACATTTAATTCTGCTTAAGAAAGTTAACCTTTTGATTACTGAAGGTTTTCTCGTAAAGCACTTACATGCAAACAGCTTTGATAGAAAAATTACTGAATACTTTAAAAAGAGATAATGATCGCCGAAAGACGTTACCGCCTTCGGTTAAAAATGATGCTGAAAACTTAAGAAACTCTCTGTGATAGCTGCTGTTAAGCATTTTTGCTTTCCTAACGCTAACTGCGGATTAGGTGGTTGTCAACTAAACCATTGTAGGGCCAATCTTACTTTGTTTTTGCTTACACTGATGTTGGGCGCCAAATTTGGTGCGAACACCCAGAGCTCGAGCTACGAAGCTGTTCAAGACCACTCCAACCGCTGAGACAATTGCAATGATAGTTTCTGTTCGTAAATGCCGCAGGATGGAGACGATTACGAGCCTTTCTCACTGAAATATCCTGAGCCTGATACTGCTTTTATTTACACAGCTTTGATACCATGGTTGGTTTTCGGAGTTTAGTGAATTAAAAGTATATCATGCTCTACCCAGCTCAGTGAGCTGTGATCTATATCTATTACATGAGTAAAAAATTGGAGGACGGTGTCTGACATCTCGGCCGAAATTTAAACAAACAAAGCAAAACAAAGTCTTAATAACTTTTCCTTTTGTGTTAGCCATGAAAACGTTGACAAAAGAGGTATATTAATGAAAAAGACAGAATTCTTCCGGTTCAGTCTAAACCATCCCAAGCATGACATAAACTTTTCCAGCAGTGTATAATTAATTAAGCTTGAAGTCAAGGCACCACTTTGTTTTCTAATCTCTTGGTGAAACTTTAAGCATAACCTTTCCTTGCGGGCAGGACATCGTAGTGGCAACAACATAATCCAATGGAACCTGCAAGAAGCACAACAGTGATATTAAACAATGATCGTGGAAAGTGCGGTCAAAACAAAGTTATATGGTCCTGCAACAAGTTACATGGAAATTCCTCAGGAGAGTTTTTGCGAGCAAGCACAGATTTGGCTTCAGAAAGCTGCAGTCACTTTTCATAATTCGCTTAAAGACCCAAACGCAACCACATTTTCTCTGGAATTGTTCATAATCAATTATTGCAGCAATCTGCTAAACCCACCGCTGTTTTCTCCGTACATTCCAGCTTGTACTTCTTCAGTAATCTCACCAGGGTCAGCTTAATTTCCAGCAAAGCAAATCGCATACCGACACAGTTGCGGGGACCGTGACCAAACGGCATGAATGCGTACGGATGACGCTTTGCCTTCTCGTCTTCTGTGAACCTGTTGAAAACCAAAACAGTATTCTAAGAAGGGGTGGGGTGTTAAAACCATTTCCTGGCCCAAACTACGTTCAGATCTTAGTAATCAGATACGCATGATATTTAGTACCAGTATTTAATTTTAAGCTAATAAAAGAAATAACCTTCCACACCTTTCTGGAATAAACTTATCAGGGTCTGGATAGATCTCTGGGTCGTGATGAATCGCATAACATGGAAACATGATCGGCATTCCTTTTGGAATTTTGACACCTTTGATAGTGCAGGTTTCGTTGCAGTCCCTCTGAAGTCTGGTGAAACCGTAAATTATACAAACTGAGCATAAATTATATGAAAGACAAGTGATAGCTAGTAAGAGATATCTTATACATCTATCTGGCCCGCTTGAGGTAGGTGGAGCTTAACAATTAAATATCATAATCACATTGACATTCTGGTGAACACGTGGCCATAATATACTGTGCAAAATGCAATTAGAATGTACTGTACCAATGATCCTATGATTCCAAAAATGGAATTAAGCCGTTATTATCACTTATGTCCTCTCAAACATTTTACCCCCTTTTCCTCAGTGTATGCTTACAGCTACTTTGATATAACATTTTAAATTAATTTTATTTTATTTTAATTTTATTTATTATTTATATATATATATTTTTTTAAATTGAGTTTAGGAGCGTGCTGTTGTTTCAGAAGTCGCTTCCTCAATTTTAACACCAACTTTTATGTTCATTTTGCATACACATTCCCACCTTTGCGTACACTTTTTTCCATTTTACCCATTGAATACCAGATTGTCCATCAGTGGAGTGGGAACCCACTTTTTTGGGATTCCATTCATCAACACCAAAGGAAGCCACAAAGATTGCTAGTGAAACTACTGATTGATATACTTAATACAAAAAAAAAAAAATGGAATTGAGCCGTTATTATCACTTATCTCCTCCCAAACTGATCTGCTACGTTAAACAATCGGTCCGCCATTTGTAATAAGATGCATGCTCTCTCCAAACGCCTAAGGCCGTGCTAACGCCAAGAAATTTGGAAATCGATTCCCCACATTACTCGTTCCCATGCTTAGCAAATCCATGAATAAAAAGTAAGCATTGATTCCTCGTACACTTACACAAATCCTGGCGGATAAATTCTGAGTGCTTCATTAATAACCATGTCAAGATATTCCATCTTGTGAAGCAGATCGTATGAAGGCGATGCCTGAAGAGATTAAAAAAGGTGAAAAAAGGAATTGTTCGAGATTTCCGATAATCTGGTTTCGTTTGTTTATTTGTATGCACTATTCATTTTATCTGTTAACTACAGCAAGCAACAGATAATTACTCACAAACAGGCATTTTCTTTTTAAATATCCGGTTCATGTTCACTGTTCATGTTATCATATTCATATTATATTCTTTGTCGCCAAAATTTATCTTATACCTCATCCTCAGGCCACATGCGATCAATCTCGTCCCTCAGTTTGTCTTGCACATGCGTATCAGTGGCGAGGTGATAGAAAATAAATCCCATAGTGGTACTGGAAGTTTCATATCCAGCGATAAGAAATACGAGACTTTGGGCCTGAATATCTTCATTGTCAAGGTTTTCGCCGCCCTTTTCTTCTTTTGCATCCAGCATCATTTGGAGTAAGTCTTTGCGCTGAAAAGAATCACCCAGTATAAGTTACAACATGTCTATTCGCTGCAAGGGAGGACACATACATCGAAAACAAATGAAATAAAGTGATTTTTGAAGGTCATCGTTTGACAGCTGAGACCGGTAATAAAACCAAACATAAGGAACCAACAAGCTTAATAGATTTATAAGGAGAGACCGTGAGGGAGCTGCGAGAAGACGAGTTCGGAAAGTGAACGAGTCCTCGTTTACCTAACCAATCCGGCAATTGTTTCGCGTTTGATCGAATGGAATATTTTTCGAAGGTTTTATAGAAACGAAATACGGATACAATTAAGATTTCACGATTAGAACGAACACCGAGTTCGTCACAGCTTCCAATTAAAGATACGTACCGATTGTATAACGTCTCACAAACCGCACTTACATGAGCTTTCCATTTGCTGTTTTCCTTTGTCCTTTCAGCTATGATATTGGCTGCTAAGGAACCGATTGGGTCCAGCCCAAAGGGGTCATCAAGATAGTATAGTAACCGGTCTCCAAATGGCAAAAGCACTGAAAAAGGAATGGTTTTGATAATCGCAAAAAACTTAAAGTTCAAAGATCTCGTGAATGATCTACCTTAATAATAAATGGTTCTTACAAGCTTTAGAGAGGCCGACCTGCAGATAACAACAGTGCATCCGCCCTCAGGCTGACAAATTTTACGTCTTAAACTACTGTTCGATACCGATTCCCAAGGACGTTGATGGCCCGAGGGGGATGGGGAGGTACATGGGTTAAGTTTTGCTGCGTATGTGCTGCTGGACTCTTAGAAACACTACCCCATCATAGTCAACAGCCGCACATCCACATTAGCCTCTTCTAGGTTGGAAGGGAAGAAATCTTCGGGGTAGAAAACGGAATCAATCAAATGATGACCAACATGAAGCAGGCCTTAACCTGTGGGGGAAAATATACGAAACTTACATGTTAACCCAATAATAGGTTTAGGAGACATCGCTTTCTTTGCTCGTTCAGTGATTGGATCATTTTCGACAGTTTGCGTTTCTGCTTTCACTCCAAATGCTGTTGACAAGATTACCTCCATGGTAAGACACTGAAGCCACCTAGGAAAAACGAAAATGTATAACGCTAAGTAAACTTTATATGATACCTAGGGGTGCATAAAAAATTTTAAGTGCCACTATCCTTATCTTGTCGCTTGAGACGTATTCAACGAGGGAAAAGCTTTAATTCTATTTCGATTCACGAGCACATGGCATCGCTTCACAACCAGAACAAGAAACGTCGGGGGAGACTGGAACGAATACTGCCGAGTCTCTACAAATACACCACATCGCTAAAATTAGGGAAATTGAAAGTTATAAGTTACTTCTATAAACTCACTTATGAAAATCTACTATCTCGCCTGTTCTTGAAATTTTGTCCACCTTATCAATAAACGTGTCCACAGATTCATTCATAAACGTCATCATCTGAAAAAAAATGATGCAACTTTAAATCTTTCTACTAGACGGAAATGCCCAAGCCTTGTTGGGGATGAAGGGAAGAAAACTGATGATTTTATTCTGCCTAATTCTGGAAGGGATGTTAACAAGCGAGCATTATCTAGGTTAACAGCAGTCATTTTGGGCATTCCGCTTGAGGTGAAGAACCGTAGTTGCATTATATCTCTGTGTCACTGGACTTTTGTGATTCATTCATTTACCTTCATATGCACCTAACTCTCTCGACTACCGATCCGCGCAAGCGCTTAAACTCCCACACAAGCAAATGATTTAAAATTGGCTAGATATGAACTATAGTCGCCTGCCTAAAGCAACCATCTTGCTCAAAATTTCTGGTGATACATTATGATGTCCCCATGATGTGCTGTACTCCCGCAATTGATACCACAACCGCTGGAGTCAAGATAACTGAATATTTGAGGTAAACCACTCCTTGAGAGTATATACGATTTGAATTATTTCAAAGAAAACTTTGCACACCTGCTTCATCTTAGAAGAACTGAAGGTTGGTGTCAGAGTAGTACGGATATCTTTCCATTTCTGACCCGTTACTAAGGATAACATTCTGTCATAAGGCTTTGGAAAATCTGCGATGTGCTAAAATTAAAAGAGGACAAATTGAAGTCTTCTATAACGATACAAAAGTAAAGATAATCAAGGAAAGGAAAAACATTTTTATCATCTTGACCTTTCGATCATGAAATTTATGAAACTCTTTGACGAGGATCTCTTTGATCATTTCTGGATCAGCTACCATTAAAAAAGGCGTACGGAACAAATACATCCTGAAAGAAAAAGTTAAATTACTCATTATGCTGTATACAGTAGAAGAATTCTTGGCTTGAGATCTCACAGTCAGCTGTAGCTCATATTCAGTGGAATCAGCCGGTCCTCCAGCTGACCAAGTCTTGGAGAAACTTCAGGTCTGAAGTACTTATGTCAGTACTTACGGTCATTTTCTATTTCCTTAGAATCCTGCTATCCAGTGGCGGATCCAGGGGGAGGGTCCGGGGGTCCGGACCCCTCCCCCCTATCAGACCTGACGCTTACAACTTTGAGACTGAAATTCTTACATCGACAGGATCGTATATCACTTTTTAACTGGCTGATTTTTTTAATTAATGAATCCAAGTAAACGGTAAGCGGCCAAGGAATTATAACGTGCAACCGCGACTGGTGGGAGGGGCA